TTATATATATATATATATATATATATATATATATATATATATATATATATATATGATGCAATGAGAACGAAAGTAATAATATAAATTCTAACGTTCACAGAATTAATTCAAAAGAATTCTCGATGCCGATAGTAGAGCTATAATTATTTATCATTTTATCATATAGACGAAAATGTTTACTCACCACAAAGATGCATTGAATTTCACCAGTTGAGGTGCAATTGAAATGCACCGAAACGAAGTTGCATCTTTGTGGTGAGTGAACTGTTTTTTTCTATATGATAAAATTATAGTATATATATATATATATATATATATATATATATATATATATATATAAGCACAGGGTTGATGCAGATAGAATAAAATTCTGATAAGCAAAAATGCTATTCTTGAAAGAGTGCTCATAACAGATTAGACCAAATAATATTTTTTGTAGTAATGTTATAACATGTATATGTTATAATTTTTCAATATATATATATATATATATATATATATACATATGAAGAATATAAATGGGCTAAAGTGCTCAATATCAGAGACAGAGCGTATGTAAATATAAAAGTGAACATTAAAGTCTGGTGGCCTAATGATTGCGTTTAGCATGAAACAGGATATCTCCTCTGAATGTTGACTTCAATGTACACTTTTATATTTATATATGGGGTACAATTGAGTTTCATTTTCATGTAATTCATATATATATATATATATATATATATATATATATATATATATATATATATATATATATATATATATATATATATATATATATATATATATATATATACTATTGTTATGTAAATTATTTACAAAAGAAAATTGAAATAATTTTTTAAAAATTATTCGTAAACGAAAAACGAGAACTCTTCATATTCCACAATATTCTTCTGTTGCCTTGCAAGGCCCAAAGTTTTGTCTATTTTCGTTTCATTTTATTTTTTTGTCTTCCGATCCTTATACCAAATTTTCCTTTACATTATAACAAGATATGATATACAATTTGACAATCTCAGTGATTTTAATATATTCAAATTCTCTTTTTTTTCTAAAACAAATTCTTGTTTGTGTGTATAGTAAAATCTCATTCATTTGCACAGTTCTCACTTGATTTCCTTTCCCATCAAATCGTTCCTACTTTGTTATGCTGCCTAGTCAACTATTCCCTGTCTTGGTCTTAATGGAACTCGTTCAGATGTAATAGTTTTTGATAACCGTTAATATGACATCGGTTCTTATCTTCAAATATCTCAGTGCAACCTTGTCTACCTCGACACATTTTCGATTCCTTCCGTTTGAAATATTTTTTTTAAGGTTTCTTATTTGGAAATTTCTTGATCCGACATTTTGCTTCCTTGTCCTTTCGATTTTTATTTCTTCCTTTGATCTTTGTTATTTTCATCTTGATTTTTATGATTTCCTTTTCACATACAATCATTTGCCAAAGTCTTTTACGTGGGGGACCCCAGTGATAAAGGAAGTTTTTTTTTTCTTTTCAGCATATCACAATGAGAGTGTTACTTCTTTCTTTGTAAGCGCTGTTCATGAGTAGAATATTTGTGACATGTTTCTTAGGACTTTCTTTATGTGGATGTCATTATTACTTTTAGTCTTTCCTGGTACTTATTTTGTCATTGGAATATTGGTTTTATTAGCCTGTATTAGTTATGTCATTCTAGTTTTAGCTTTACATTTTCTCTGCCTAAATTAATCCCCTTATTTTCTCTAGATGCTATTACAACATTAACGTGTGTTTGTGTAACATATATATATATATATATATATATATATTACGTATATTTTGGCAGTATATATTCATTTTGTCTTAGAAAAATAATGAACGCCACAATTTTTTGTCTTATAAAAAACAAGGCATTGTGCTGGGAATAAAATGAATATGCATCAACATGGTAATTTTCTTTCTTCTTTTAATAAGGATACAAAGAAACTTGTCCGTAATTATGAGAGGATCCTGTTAAAAATAATTAGAGAAAATTTAGTTGTCTTTTTCTGCTTATTAGCAAGATTTTCGCTACTCTTCTTCTTCTCTTAAAAATTTCAAATTTATCGGATGTTTTGTTCATGGTCTTTCATTGGTAAAGTAACATATTGGTTGAATCATGCGATTCTTCATTTATAAAGAAACTGAACAGCTGTCACGGGCATTGGAGAAGCTTTGGATTTCTGTGTCACACATTCAGTTATCTGTTATTCGACTGTCCTGTATCAATTAAATTCGACGTTCCCTTTTTGTAGCTCAAATTTAGAATTGCTTCTTCTGCTTACCACCGGGATCACTGAATGAGTGAAAAAAAGGATGTATTTCAAAATCCTGAGTCAACTGGATGTTCCCATCCATAATCTACACCCTTGTGAAATTTAATTGAAACAACCGCTATAGATTCCTTTCTTTCATCATACGGTCAGTTTTAGACCTACTGGAGTTATAGGATGTAATCGATTTTTATTTTTTCCTCAGATTAGGTCATTTGCAGTGGTGTGCAGTAATATGAATCTATTTTCGGGCTATATGATGAAATTTGTTTGGTCTTGAAAAATATTGCGCCATCCGTGACTGCATCAGATTTTCATCACGCCCAGACACTATTGTCTCGACTGTCGATTAGTTGTTCTACAGCGATTGTCTGTGATGGACGTTACTGTAAGGAAGCATATGAAATTGTAACACTGCACAAACACACCGGCAAGTGAGCAAATCAAAGTACGATAGACTGGCCCGGAAACTCTCATGATTTAAATCCAATCGAGAATCTGTGGACAATCTGCAATGAATGACTTCGTGGAATGGAGATACAAAGTTCTAATATGTGCAGTGGGTCTTGTTTTCTTGGAAAAATACGAAAAAAGTAAATAATAACGGAATTATTCGTTTTGTTTCAATTCATTTGCACGAGGATGTATATAAGAATAGTTTATTATCATCTTTTAAGTATTGAGTTTTCACATCGGGAGAATCTCGCGAGAAGCCATTCTTGCACTGTTATTTAATATCAATTCTCCTCTATAGCAGTGAATGACGCAATAGAAAAGTAATTCTACAAAATGATACACAGAATTCCATGGACAGAATTCGTGACCAAGGTGAGCCTTCAAGTCGGAGAATATCCGGGACTGCGATGGCCTGTTAGCATGCCCGTGTTGTTCCATCCATAATTATTCTTATCATTCCTTCGGGGAACTATATCTCTGTTGACTCGGAAATTCCGTTCAAATTGTCCAGTATTTATTGCCATATAAAACGGTAGTGATCAGCATTCTTGTCTTTGTTTCTAAAAAAATTGACCTGTTTATTTTCCAAGACTGTGAAAAATATCATTTACAATTTTCTATTGCTTCTAAGAACTTCGAATTGCTGAAATAATTATTTTGCTATTATGATTCTTTTAGAATTTCCCACCAGAAATGTTTTTACGTTTTTAAATTAAAGTATTTCAGAACTTCTCAATTTCATCAGTGGCAACGAAATGCTTTTGATCACTATCTATCTATCTATCTATCTATCTATCTATCTATCTATCTATCTATCTATCGCTCGCTCTCTCTCTCTCTCTCTCTCTCTCTCTCTCTATATATATATATATATATATATATATATATATATATATATATATATATATATATATATATATATAAAGTGAAGATTGAAGTCAACACTTAGAGGCGACGGACTGTTTCATGCTAGACGCAATCGTCAGGCCACGAGTGTTGTTTTTTTTTTCTTAGCTATTTATATATACTGGTCAGTGGTGCATTGTGGGTAGTCTATTTTGGTAGTTATGTTGCTGGAAGTCGCTTAATTGTTTATTTATTTGGGGTAAATCATTTTGCTTGTTTTTATTTATTTTTCATTTTTATTTTTATTTTTATTTCTTATCTTATATATTTATTTATTTTTATTTTATTTTAATCGGTGTTTTTATCAACGTAGTAAAATTTGTTTATATTGCTTATTTAATAGTTTTGTTTTGGTTTGGGAAGATAATTAAAGCTATTTATTTTTGGGGGTTGATAGCTGTAGTTTATTCTAACTATTATTTGGGCGTGATGTCATCATATTCAGCTCCTGATAAATAGAGCACTTTCGCTACATTTATAACACAGTATGGACATAGAAAAATTTAGCCTCGACTACTCCCTAAAAAACATACCCTTCCATATATAAGCTAAAATTATCCCATTTTAGCACACCTTGAGAGTATATTTCTTCATATATATATATATATATATATATATATATATTGGAATTTTATCATATAGACAAAACCATTTTACACAATACAAAGATGCAACTTGGTTTCAATGCATTTCAACTGCACTTCGATAGGTGAGAATCGAAAATGGTTATGAACAATCCTGCTTGTAGGCAAGCCGTATGTGAAACGTCACTTCCTTTTTTCCATTTGTTTGAGAAGAAAAATATACATAAGAAAAAAAAGAAGGTGACGGAATGAAACAATAGTGCTTGTTGACAGCAGTTTGGTGAAGAATGGATTGGGTGTTTAATGTCGACTGGTCTGTGGAAATTTTTTTGCCGATTAACACCGGTCAAAAGTTTAGGCACATCTAATATTTGTTAATATCTATCTATCTATCTATCTATCTATCTCAGCCTCTTCCTATTTACATATATCTATATCTCAAAAGATAATGTCCCTCTCGTTTTCTTGTTTATTACAAATAGCCAATGACAGAGAAAGAGAAGACGTTAGATTAAAAATAATTGCCAAATATACAGTTAATATACAAAATTACTAATTATTACATTTTTCCTATATATATTCGTTAAATTCAAATAAAATAGTAAAAACAATCGCCGGCAAGTCTCATCCAATCACAATGCACTCTACCAAGTATTATTGACGACTTCCGCTTCTAACTACTAGATTAATAGTTTTGATCTCATTACTTTGCAGTCGCTTTGCAAAGGGTATTCAGGAACACGCTCCAAGTTCTCGAGTTACCATCAGTACTACCGACAACATCATACTGCAGAAGTTTTTCCAATTCTCTCGCAAAGTTTAGATAATTATTCAGCTTTTTTACTTTCCTTGTAGAGCGAAAGGACGACTGAGTGAAAAAAAAAGTATGATCAAAAGGAATTAAACGAACTGTAAAACAGAAAATGAGGGAAATGGGATGTTATTAAATGAAAAAGAGTGGAAAAGATATTAACCTTTAGTTAAATGTGAAATAAAAGAAAGAGAAAAACGAAGGAAAATGTCGAATCAAGGGAATAAAAAAAATGATTTGTGCTGTGGGGGAGACAAGTATATTAATAGGTAGATATAAAGAGACATAGTTAAACAGCAAATAGAACATAATACTGCTTCAATTAATTCCAAATATATTAATTTCTTTTATCGTAATCAAAGGCATACTAATTGTAAACAAGATGAAAATATACTAAAAAAATCAGTAAATACTAATATATCTACAACAGATCCTAGCAAAAAAAAATTAGGTTAATCATATACTACACTAAATCTAGTATATCCAACTCAATTATTTGCAATGCTTCTTCCCCCAACCTTAGTGATTTGCAAAAAAAAAAACAACATAGTTTACAAATTCAAGTGCCCTTTGCGAGATTGTAACTCCAATGGATTAAATAATATTTATGTTGGTCACACCACAAACTCGCTATCACGGCGCTTAACTCTACATTTAAATGATAACAATAACATTTTTAGGCATTTAAAACAACATGCCTGGCCGCGTACACAATTCCGGAAAATCCTTATTGAAAATACAACTATACTTAAACATGAAAACAATAAACAAAAACTAAAAATTCTTGAAGCTATATACATAAAACAGTTGAAACCTAACCTAAACAAAATAAACTATGGAATCTCCACAAACATTCTTAAATGCCTATAACGGATAACAGAAGCCATTGGTTTATACCAACGGCTTCCCATACTTAAAACATCTCGTTTTCACTCTCGCAAGGTCATGTGTGACGTCACTAGCTGCGACGCTATTTTCGCTTCCGTGTCTCGTATATACGAGTTTGTCGTTGTTTTGAAATTTTTCATGCAGCAAGGGCGGACTATCATTGTTGTTTCGTCCATGTGCTGTTTGATATATTGAAATTGTCATCTTTGATAATGGCTTATATAAGCTGAAAGCATAGATTGGATTTAAACATGTATCAATATGGTGTTTTCCTTCCGTCTTTCAACGATAATGTGATTAAGCTTATCAGACAATATGAAAGGAAATTACTTAAAATAAATAGACAAAACTTGTCTATATTATTTAATGAAACATGCATTAATGAAAAATTGCTGCCTATATATATATATATATATATATATATAGAGAGAGAGAGAGAGAGAAGAAGAAGAAGAAGAAGAAGAAGAAGAAGAAGACACTGATATAGATAATGAACAGTCTGACATAGATAGATAGATAGATAGATAATGAAAAGGACTATAGATAGATAGATAGATAGATAGATAGATAGATAGATATAAGGGTAGGGAAATAATTCAGGATTTAAAGGGAAATAGAAAAATATTAAAGAAAAAGAAAAGAAAAAGACAATATAAGATATGAAGAAAAGCAAAAGTGAATTTTCCATGTGTTAACATGCTGATGAGGGCTTCGGGTTAGCAAGAATTATGAATGGGAGTGAATGTCTGTGCGGGCAATGGCGGCGAATGAGAAATGGCGGGAAAGCGCAGAGATGGTGAGGTGGGTGCGTTCCCCACTTGAGATACGTCGATCGTGACGGCCTGCGGATAGATCGTGCCAAAGAAGCTTGTGACAAACAGGGTAGGCACATCTCGCGAATCGCCGCGGGGGGGAATTACGCCTCCGAGGGGGAAACAGTGGGAGAAAATGGGGGATTATCTTTGCACAAGTTTTCCTTTTTTTTTTTTTTTTTTTTTTTGACATAGCCTCATGTGTATTTACATATGGGGTGTATAGGGTATGAGGGTTAGTTTGTGTCTTTGTGGCTGGGAATTAAGGCACATGGGTGTGCGCCCTTCAGACAGGCTGGGATTATGATTTTTTTTTAATCTATTGTCATTAATGGATTTTTCCTTCTCGTAAGTTAATTTTTCTTACCTTTTTCTTCTGTTCCTTCCCTGCATTTATTTTTATGTACAGAGAAGAAAAAAAAACCGTTACTATTTATTATTTGCCTTATTAATTTCGAGTGGTGCTGAAATGTTTTTAGCCTAACCATGATTCTCTTCCCTATCATAATTCTGTTGCTTGGTGCTTTGGTCAGATTTGGGCAAATAAAATGGACCCAGTTCTTTTCAGATCCCCTCAATTTCGTAAAAGGTCAGGATTGGTCTATGGTAGTGGTGATAATAATGTAAATCTTAATTCTATGAATTGAATCTGCACGTCTATAGAATTTGGTAACTCTTGCTTGAAATCAAATGCTCTCCTCTATGCTCCGTCTGGTCGCTAATGATATTGTCTGGATTTTCCAACCTACCGTAATTCCCTTTGTAGAATATACGCCTACATCCATAATACGCACTCCCAAAATTGAGCTGAAATTGTGGGGAAAATGATTTTACGCACGCATAATACGCACCCCTCGTTTGGTAATCAAACTCTATAAATTGTACCTCCCTAATTTCATTAAGGCCAGCATTTCCTACTCTTATTCAATCTGTAATTGAAGATATTTATCTAAATTTCCGATCATATCGATTCTAAAAGGAAGCGGAAATACCTATATTGTGCCTACTGCGCAGACTCATTAACCCATTTTTGTTCGATAAAATCTGCAATCTACTGGATTTGTATGTAGTTTTTCACAAAAATGGTTTTAAACATAGAATAGCATTATTTTAATTTAGTTTTATGATATTTTTTATTGTGGCTCAATGACCAGAGAAAAAGTCAGAGACTGCGCTGCAGACGATACTGTGTTCATCGCTTTTTACTTTAATGAAGCATAAGTGAAAAAGAAAAATGTATAATTTCCACAATTAAAAATTAAAACATTCTTGATTGCTTATTATATATTTGTTGTCACTGCACTTAATGTCAAGCGAAAGATATAAAATTATTTTCGAAAATGTAAATTGTCGATATTAAAAACAAAAATCTTACAATTGATTTTGTTATCGATATAATTACCAGGGTACTATGACCAGAAATCAAACATTTAATAGACACCGCGTTTCAAATTATTAACGAGATGACATTTTTCAACCTATCCAAAAACTACTTGTTTGAATTTGACGAAATTGTCAGAGAATGATGAAATTCTCTATATATACCTACTGTATAAAAACTGTAAGGTTCTAGAAAAAGAAACACAAGTTAGAGTCATTTACTTAAATTATTAGTGTGTCAAATTATTAGTTAGGTGTAAAAAAAAAAAACATGTAAAGAAAGAAAATAGCACTTTAATTGCTTCATTTAGAGATATTTATGGATACATAAAGTAACTAAGATAAGATTAGATCGAAATAAAAAGTAAACAGAGTTTATAAAGGATAATAGATTTGATCAATACGAGACATGTGATCTCTTTTTTAAAATGACTTGGAAAAAAGGCGCTGGTCAATCAAACATGTCAATTTCTGGATATAATTTCACATGATAAGTTTATAATTTCACGCCATAAGTCATCCTTGCTTGTAAATTGGCATCCATTCTCATAAACACGTCACTTCAGAATGCTCCACAAGTTTTCAATTAGGTTTAAGTCTGGACAATTGACCAGCCAATTCATCTTCCGAGGTCCACAGAAGCTTAAATTCTGAAGGTACTCCGTAATTTTATGCGCTGAATGCGAAGGAGTATTATCTTGCATAAATACGATGGTTTTCCTGAAGGTGATTCTTTGCTTTTTTAGCCAAGATTCCAGATGCTCTTTAAAGAAGGTTATATAAACATCTACGGTTATTTTTGTACCGTCAGGTACTCTTTATTAACCAACCTTGATACCTCCAATAATACCAAACCAAATCATAATACCTCCTCCTCCTTGTTGACGTGTCAAGTGTTGATGACGATCTTTTCCATTTACGACCCAACCTTCGCTCCAATCATCAGTGCCATCGAATATTTCACGACTTTTATCTGTGAACAGAACTTTCGAGAAACCAACCTTCATGTTCTCCTTTGCCCATTTCAAATGCATTTGTATGTGTACTTTTCTCAATTGAGGCTTTGTCACCGGTTTCACTGATATCCTGACCTTTTTCTAAGACGATAGCGAATACTTCTGGACTTTGCTGCTTCTCCAATACTCCTGAAAATGACCCACTGGTCAGACCTGGATTATTTACAGCTTCACGTTCCATTAGTGACAAATAACCTCGGGAAACAACTCTCGAGTGACACTTATCGGCCATTTTACGTACATTCGTAGGAGCTGCAAAAAATCTTATCACAGTTTGGTGATATCTACCAATTATTTGGGATATTTCTAATGTAGATTTTCTTTAGAAAGTTCAAATGTTATAATATCTTTTCTCAGAAGGGGTCAAGTCACATTTGAGACCCGTAATTGCACGATTATAATGACACTAGTTTATAGTCTGGAATACTTGTTAATATTGCAAATGGCCATCCTTTGGTTCCTGTTGCGCAGAACAATATAGTTTTATACAGCCTAGGCTTATACCTATTCCCATTTTACTGTGAAATTTTCGTTAAATTCACCAACTGGTACAAAATGAAAAAATGTCGACTCGTTAATAATTTGAAACACACACACACACACACACACACACACACACACATATATATATATATATATATATATATATATATATATACTAATGCATGTTTCACGGCGCTTGACTCTACATTTAAATGATAACATTTTTAGGCATTTAAAACAAAATGCCTGCCCTCATACTCAATTCCGGAAAATCCATGTGGACAACACAACTGTACTTAAACATGAAAACAATAAAAAAAAATTAAATAACAGAAGCCATTGGTTTATAAAAACGGCTTCCCGTACTTCCCGTTTTAACTCTCGCGTCGTCATGTGTGACGTCACGTGATGCGACGCGATTTTCGCTTCCGCGTCTCGTATATATGAGTTTGTTGTTACTTGAAATTTTTCATGCAGCAAGGGCGGACTATCATTATTGTTTTGTCCGTTGTTTTTTGATTTATTGAAATTGTCATCATTGATAATGGCTTGTGCAAGCCGAAAGATTAGATTGGATTTAAACGTGTATCAATATGGTGTTTTCCTTTCGTCTTTCGATGATAATGTTATTAAGCTTATCAGACAATATGAAAGGAACTTACTTAAAATAAATGGACAAAACTTGTCTATATTATTTAATGAATCATGCATTAATGAAAATTGCTGCCTAAATATACACAATATATATATATATATATATATATATATATATATATATATATATATATATATATATATATATGTATGTATATATATATCAGTGTAATTATGCCAGATCACTCTCTAGGTGCCACTGATACCATGGAAACAAGCACAATCTGTCTCATGGTCGGATCATCGGTGACTAAACCTGTTCATCCACCAGGCATTTCTGGTGTGGAGGGTGTGGCTAAACATCCGGCAGGAATAAAAACATAAGACCTGTTAAAGGCCGATTGTACCTTCCTGTGGGGTTGACTTCCATCTGGCACAATACGTCTGCTCTGTGGTTTGAATAAAAGAGGGATAGGTTAGGTCAGGTTTACTTGTCCAAGGCACGCTACGCCATGTGGATACTTTCCCCGCTTTTAGCCCAGATATATGGCGGGAACTGGTCAGGTGTTCAGCTGCCAATCGACTAATGAAGATGACGAGGATGATGATGATAATGATGGTGGTGGCAGTGGTGATGATGATGATGATGATGATATCGATGTAGAAAGAAAATACTAGACTGTTCAAAATATAATTTACGATTTCAGTGCTTTCGCCAATTTTCTTTAAATCCCCCCCTCCTAAAACAAATTAATTCAAGATTTCTTCAATTTCGTTCTGGTTGCAAAGGTTCCTCTAGAGAAATAGATGAAAAAAAAAGCGTACACGTAGTGACTAACGCAACAAAAATGAGGATATTAGTCAGTGTAATTTATGAGATATTTATAACATCGTTTCTTACCCGCCCAGACAGCACGACGAAGCCCGAAGTATGAATCGTTCTGAACACATTAATGAAAACGAAAAAAAAAAAAGAAGATGAAAATATGTCTTTGAATAACGGATGGAATAACGCAAACGCTGTGACCGAAAATAAAGTAAAGATTTTTAGTTCCAATAAAATGATTTTGTGAGAAATATTTAACAGGAATTACAATAAATACATCAGGATTATGATATAAATATGTAAAACTTCTCAACGCTTTTTTTAGTAGAGACTAGCAGTAGAGCCCGGCGTTGCCCGGGGATGTAACAGTAAGAGATAGATCAAGTATCGACCATCATAAAGACTGAAAAAATAAAATTGACAAAGATTAAGATTAAGTTTAAGATTGACGGACACGCATGTTTTAATTAGTTTTTATTTTTTTTTTTTTTACGAATTGGTCAAACCCAAACAAACAAAAACATTGTTTTCAATCGTTATGAGTCTATCGATTGAATAGAATTTTATTATAAACAAT